CTGCTGCACAAAGTCTCACCATCTCAGCAGCTCTGAACCTTGATATCTGCCTTCTCAACTCACAAAACTACCACTCAGTGAGTCAGCCAGGCTCTGCTTGGGCTCTATCTCTGCACCACAGTCTAGAACATGTCCCAGACAGAAAGCCCAGGGTAAATGTGGGAGCTGACTTTTTGTGTTTCTCTTCTTTTAAGGATCACAGTCCTGTGCTGTCTGAAGTGTAGTCCAGTGCCTAAAAGCAATTGCTTTATATACTATTTTATCCCATTTTATTATTGTTTATAGCAGAAGGATAAGCCTATTTCTAGGTACTCTGTCATGGCGCAAATCACAAATCCTATACAGCAGTTTTAAGCCATAATTATGAATATTTTGTAGCTATGTAGAAGAGTGTGTGTGTGTGTATATCCACAAATACAGGAAGGGAACTTGAAAAATTAAGAACTGTTAATTGATTAGGATATTTAAACGAAAGGTAAGACTTTTTCTCTTTTTTCTATTAATATAATTGTAGCTATGTAATAAAATGACTTTGTTATGGAATTAAAGATTACTGAAATAGTTTTAAGGTGAAACTAATAAAATTTATTTCTTCCTTTTACCTAATTAATTCACTAGACACCTAATACATTTGTTAAATTTGTCTTTAAATTTTCTTCTATAATGACACTTTTTCATACACAGTAAATGACCAAGACAGAGAAACATTTTATCTGCATAGCTTATGCTGGGTACTTTGGTTTATATCTGATTGTTAAAAATTATAATAGGAAGTGACACCACATTCAGCAGTTTTCTATAAGTAGGAACCTCAGAAACATTAGTACCCAAGCTAAATGACTGGGGAGTGTGTATGTTTTAACTTTTCAAAACCAAACCAAATGCATGATTATTTAGACTGTTATTGCCATACTTAAAGCTAAAGCAAGGAATCATCATTCAATTGCACTATACATATAGAAGGAATATGAAATCACACACACACACACACACATACGAACTGAAGTCATAGGACTCATGGCCACTCCAAAATTACGAATTAATTCTACTAGCCTTGGCGTGAAAATTCCTTTTTTTTTGTAAACATCTTTATTGGAGTATAATTGCTTTACAATGGTGTGTTAGTTTCTGCTTTATAACAAAGTGAATCAGTTATACATATACATATGTTCACGTATCTCTTCCCTCTTGCGTCTCCCTCCCTCCCACCCTCCCTATCCCACGCCTCTAGGTGGTCACAGAGCACCGAGTTGATCTCCCTGTGCTATGCGGCTGCTTCCCATTAGCTATCTATTTTACGTTTGGTAGTGTATATATGTCCATGCCACTCTCTCACTTTGTCACAGCTTACCCTTCCCCTCCCCATATCCTCAAGTCCATTCTCTAGTAGGTCTGTGTCTTTATTCCCATCTTGCCCCTAGGTTCTTCATGACCTTTTTTTTTTCTTCTTAGATTCCATATATATGTGTTAGCATATGGTATTTCTTTTTCTCTTTCTGACTTACTTCACTCTGTATGACAGACTCTAGATCCATCCACCTCACTACAAATAACTCAATTTCGTTCCTTTTTATGGCTGAGTAATATTCCATTGTATATATGTGCCACATCTTCTTTATCCATTCATCTCTTGATGGACACTTAGGTTGCTTCCATGTCCTGGCTATTGTAAATAGAGCTGCAATGAACATTTTGGTACATGACTCTTTTTGAATTCTGGTTTTCTCAGGGTATATGCCCAGTAGTGTGACTGCTGCGTCATATGGTAGTTCTATTTCTAGTTTTTTAAGGAACCTCCATACTGTTCTCCATAGTGGCTGTATCAGTTTACATTCCCACCAACAATGCAAGAGGGTTCCCTTTTCTCCACACCCTCTCAAGCATGTATTGTTTCTAAATTTTTTGATAATGGCCATTCTGACTGGTGTGAGATGATATCTCATTGTAGTTTTGATTTGCATTTCTCTAATGATTAATGATGTTGAGCATTCTTTCATGTGCTTGTTGGCAATCTGTGTATCTTCTTTGGAGAAATGTCTATTTAGGTCTTCTGCCCATTTTTGGATTGGGTTGTTTTTGTTTTTTTTTTTTGCGGTACGCGGGCCTCTCACTGTTGTGGACTCTTCCGTTGCGGAGCACAGGCTCCGGACGCGCAGGCTCAGCGGCCATGGCTTACGGGCCCAGCCTCTCCGCAGCATTTGGGATCTTCCCGGACCGGGGCACAAACCCATGTCCCCTGCATCGGCAGGCGGACTCTCAACCACTGCGCCACCAGGGAAGCCCTAGCATAAAGTTTTAATGACCATTGTTATATGTCTTAAACATGCAGTATAGTTTTTTTTTTATAAATATGGTTTTTAAAAGGATTATCTCTAGTTGAAGCAGCTTTTATTAAGGAAATTTTAAGGCAGTTACTCTTAATTCCACTATTCTACTATAATTGTTTTTATTTCACCCAATGTGTATATTATTTTATATAGCCAGGGAAGCAGCATAAAGTTTTAATGACCATTGTTATATGTCTTAAACATGCAGTATAGTTTTTTTTTTATAAATATGGTTTTTAAAAGGATTATCTCTAGTTGAAGCAGCTTTTATTAAGGAAATTTTAAGGCAGTTACTCTTAATTCCACTATTCTACTATAATTGTTTTTATTTCACCCAATGTGTATATTATTTTATATAGTTGTGATTATAATACATATACAGTTTGGGGATCTGTTGTTTTAACCTCATGCTATTTCATATATACTTTTCCATGTTGTTGCATAAACTTCATATCTATCATTTTAAATGTCTGTATAATATTCCTTTGAGTTACCATACTTTTTCTATTATCCTATCAGTGAGGTTGTTTCCAGTTTTTTGCTTTTATATTTGATATTCCAGTAAATACTATTGTACAGATACTTCTCTGTACAGAACTTCTCTGGGTTTTTTTTAGTGGCTTCATTACAATAAATTCCCAGAGTATAATTTGCAAGTCAAACAGTATGAACCATTTTCTTCCTTCAGTAGTGGTGGTGGTGGTGGTGGTTGTTAAATATGTGATTATTTTCAGTTTGTTTGTTAGTTGTCTCTATGCTTAAATTCTATTGTAATTGTATTTGTTACTTATAAACCTGAATGATTCTTATTGCTGTCTGTTGGGTTTGGATATACATGAATCAGACTCTTCTAATATAAGAACCTCCATAAAGCAGCTGGTCTGGAGGAAGTCCCCATAAATACAGTAGAAACATTTTATAGGTTTCTATGGGGATTCTGTAACTATATAGTGGAAAATCTGTTCTCTTGGGGCTAAGGGTATAATATCCCCCTCACCTAGCAGTTAAGAAAATGAAGCAACATAAAAAACAGTATAAGGAAGTCAGAGCAATTTAAGAAATAACTAAATCTATTAAATACTCAGGAAGAAGCAAGTTAAACTAACAGTTTAAAACAAATGCGTACGGGTGAAAACCATATACGCTCTCGTTGTCTCAGAGCTTGATTCTTTTACAGGGAAATGGACTGTTCTCTTTTCCTTGTTATATTTTTTAGAAATTCATAGATGAGAAACTTGTCCCCAGCCTTAGTAATACTATTTTTTCAATAAGTGATTTATTGCCTTTAACGTCATAACTGTCATATAATAATATTCTCTATATATTTATAGGTACAGAATATAAAATGTAGTTAACAGCTCCAAGTTATATATGTGATTGCTCACATGTATTAAAATAAGTCAAAGCAAAAATTTGTTCTGATCTCATTCATTAAAGCAAGTGATAAAGCTGTTTAGTGATTATTTGGGTTGTAAATGATTGGGTTTTATTTGAAATAACAGTGGTTAAATTTTGATCTGTGAAACTCTGGTTTTTACATTATCATATACTTTTCCTGGGAACTTCAGTATACCAGTTTTGATCCTTATTAAATGTAATTTCTCACCTTTCAGTGGTGTATTTATAGCCAGGTCACTGGAATATACCCTCTCATATCTGATTGCATAAACATGACTTAAAATAGTACTGAGCTTATCATCATTCCACCCAAAGCAACTCCTTATTCTGTCACTGTTGCCCCCACTTTCATCAGTACTCAGTTTTAATACCTTGGAATCATTCCTGACTCTCTTTCTTCTCCCTTCAATATCTAGTTAATCTCCAGGTCATAACTATAGTTTTCTTTCATAGTGTCTCTCCCTCTACTCTGCCTTTCTGTTTCGCATTGCCACCACGTTAGTGCTGGGCCTCATTACTCCTAGACTACTACAACAGACTTGAATTTTGGGTATGTGATTTCTTTATTGTTAAGAAAAATGGTTTATTCCAGGAAACTACACCACCTACTTACAGTTTTACCTATTGCAATAAAAGAAACATAGACTTTGTAAGAACAAAACAAAACAAAAATCACCTTTTTTCTATAAAGATGTTGCTTCTATTCCAAGAAAGATATTTTGGTGGCAGGAAATAATATTCTCTCATATAAATTCTGAAACTGAAAATACTTATAGAAAGTGCCAGATCTTAGAAAGATGACCTTCTTATATGCTATATCAAGTAGTCTATCATTTAAACATAAATGAATCCATATACAGAAATTAAGGCAGCTAATAAGAATAGTGCAAAAGAAGTATGAAAAAACTATTAAAGAATTCCCTGTTCATAAATTAACAGAAAAGCAAATAAATTTAGCCTTAGAATGAAACACAGCAAACCATACCAGCACCCAGATAAACATGCACCATGGTGCTCCTGGGACACCACTTCAGCAGTTATCTCCAGAAGGTGGCTGGGGCTTGCAACACACCCAGAGTTAGAAGAACCGTAGGCGCTCCAGGGTTGCACCAGCGCTGTCACAAGGAACATCTGACACAACGTATTCATTTGCCTTGGAATTTGTTTGTGTCAATTTGCCTTTGACTAACCTAGAATGAAAGAGGTATCCCTTGTCACTCTTTTTCTGCCTTCTTCAATTATAAAGGGTGTTTTATAATCTTCATTTTTTGAAAGGGATCACATGCAGTGGTCAAAAGAAGAAGAAGCAGCAGCCAGAAAAAAAGTAGAGGAAAACTCAGCTGTGCGAGTCCTTCTGGAAGAGCAAGGTAAAGCAACTATATGTTGTGTTTCCTGGAGCCTGGCTTTCCTGTTTGCCCTTCCACTGATTCAGTTCACACCTCAGTCTCTTTTCCTCCTAATTGTGCCACTACTTTAGAGAGTTCTTAGCTTCTACCTTTGCTAATCTACTTGTTTCTTTGGGAGAATTCCCAATTATTCCAGTGTAGCGGAACCAAAGTTAAAGAAATAAATTATGTATTCACCCTATAAGTATAATCTCTTTCTATAGTCATATTATTGCTTTCTCTGGGAGATACATAAGGGTGGCATTTCAAACAAGGTATGAGAGCATAATTTAAAAATTTTCCTTTGGTTATGCATCTTTTAGTATGCTGTTGTGCACTTGACCTGCTAGGAATATTCAACAGATTCAAAAACTTTGAGCAAAGAAGGTAAAGTCATATCAAAATGTTTCTGGTCTTTTATTGAACGCAAAGTTTCAATAAGGATTTGAGGTACTTTTCTTGGAGGCCTTTGATATTTAGAGTTTAATTTAGGTAAGGCCTTGCCAACCTTAAAAATGGCTTCTAAAGTATTGGCCTATGCTACAATCACAAAACCAGAAAATAACAAGTGTGGGTGAAGATGCATAGAAATGAAGCCCTTACATGCCCTGTTAGAGTGATTATAAAATGGTACAGCCTCTACTGAAAACAGTATGGAAGTTCCTCCAAAAATTAAAAATGGAAATACCATATCATCTAGCAGTCCCACCTCTGGATATATAGCCAGAAGAATTGAAAGGGTCTTGAAGAAATATTTGCACACCCATTTTCATAGCAACAATTCACCATAGCAAAAGGTAGAAGCAACCCAAATGTCCAACAGATAAACTGATAAACAAAATGTGGTCTCTTCATATGGAATATTATTCAGCCATAAAAAGAAATGGAATCCCTGTCACATGCTGTCATCTGGATGAACCTTAAGGACATTATGTTAAATGAAATAAGCCAGTCACAAAAAGACAAATACTGTATGATTCCACTTATATGAGGTACCTAAAATAGTCAGATTCATAGAAACAAATTAGAATGGTGGTTAGCAAGGGCTTAGGGGAGGTGGGGAAGCACAGAGTTGTTGTTTAATGAGTATAGGGTTTCAGATTTGCAGGATGAAAAAGTTCTGGACATCTGTTTCACAACAATGTAAATATACTTAACACTACTGGGCTCTTCACTTAAAAATGGTTAAGATGGTAAATGTTATGTGTTTTTTACCACAAATTTTTGTTTAAAAAGCACACTAAAAAAAATTTGGCCTCTGCCCTTCTCAATGCATAGCTGGGAACTGACAGGCAGTTGGCCCAACACTTAACACTCTCTAGAGAGGATTTTCCTACCTTTTTTTCCTTAAATGATTTCTCCTTTAAAACAGGTTGTTTTTTTTTCTTAAAAAAAAAACAAAAATAGCTTATTGAAGTACCAGATACCCATAGAAATTAACACAATTCATAAATTTTCATAAAGTTTTCATAAATCTCAGTGAATTTTCCCAACACCCACTTTAAGAAACAGAATATTACCAGTAACCCAGAAACTTCCTCATGCTCTGTCCCAATTACTTTCCCAAACCCCTAAGACTCTACAAACAGCAACCGCTATTCTGGCTTCTAATACCATAGGTTAGTTTTGCCAGAACAACTTGGTTCTGGTCATGATCATTTCTCAATCACTCATGTAGCACTGTCAGTGTACCTGTTAGATAGAATGAGAGGCAGTAAACTATGGCCGGGGGCCAAATCCAGCCCACTGCCTATTTTTATAAATAAAGATTTATTGGAACTCATTTGTTAACATTGTCCATGGCTGCTTTTGAGCTATATCTACAGACTTGAGTAGTTGCAACAGGGACCTTATGTAGCCCACACAGACTACGTACCGTCTGGCCCTTTACAGAAGAAGTTTGCCAACCCCTGAGATAGAATTTTGTTTCCAGATTGATCAGCTGTCCTGAAACTCCCCAGAGAAAGATGTTTGCATTCCTCTGTGCAAGCCAAGCATAGTGAAGAGCACTAATCCCACTGGTAGTTAGCTATTGTTGTGACTTTAGTCTACACTTGAGGCTAAAGTTTGAAGCAAAGGTAGCTGTTGAAACTTAAGCTAATGAGACAGCCCTCATGAGCTCCCTTTGCCAGTGAAGGGGGCAGTGTGGCCCTGTCTTATCCTCTGGCATCATTTGTTATCCCTCAGAGCTAGTTTTCCTTCCTTACTGTAAGCATGAATATGTCCTGGAGGATAGACAAGAAAGAAGAGCACCTGATCCACCGCAGAACCATTCTATTTTTATGAACTCCAGCCATGCAGTCCCAGAGTGGGATGTGGCCAAGGAGTGTTGGGGCTGGATTTGAGAGTGCATACCGGTGGCAGTTCTGCTCACAGATCAGCCTGCACTGCATTCCTTTGCAGGAACTCTGTCACACTGTTTCTGAGGAAGTATAATTTTGCTTCTTTGCCGGCAGCTGCACAGGCATATTTTCCACATTACTCAAGCTTCTGCTAGTGGCCACCTGGATGTGACAGAGAGAGTCAAGCCTAAACAGAATTAAAAGATATCAGTCATCTTAATTCTTTTCCAGGAAGTTAAAAATTATCCACAGTATATTTCCTGAGAATATGAAAAACCAAGGAATTTTTTTTTTCCTTGCTCTTTTGAGTATTTCTGTTTAGAACATAAATAGATGAGCAGTGCTGATAGTGTTCCCTTAAAGGGCTCTGTACGTGGTTGCCTATTTTGGCCTATTTATGTTAACAATGAACTTGAGTGAAGCTAATGAGAAGGTTATTTTCAGGCCTTGGAAACCACAGTAAAGGAAAATGACAGTTCCCACAGAACCATAATGTGACTGAAATAGAAAGGTGGTGACTGGCCTTTCTCTATAGAAGCAGGAAAAGCAGACTGGAGAGGGCTGATGATACTGCTTTGAAGCATTTGGTTTGCTTATTAGCATGTGCAGTCTGTTTCTGAGCAAGTTTTCTGGCCGTCGTGGAGACACAAAACAAAAGAGTTCATTTTAAAATGACTCAAAGTGATCAAGGCTTCTGCTGGGTCCCCTCTGCGTCCTCCCTTCCTCCCCCCCCCCCCCCGCCCCCCCCCGCTCCCCGTAACACCACTCAGTGCAGTGGACTTCACACATGTCAGAGAACTGCTACAAGGAGAGGAACACACACAGTGAGGGTGACCCTTACATCACACTTAAACAAGGTTGCACAGAGCAGCAGTTGAGGGTGGCAAAGAAAGAAAACTTCTGTCCTGAGGAACTATGTTGAGTGACGGGACATTACAGTGAGAGTAAATACCTACCCAGCCACCCAGTCCAGTCTCCACCAGGGAACATCGACCTGCTAGTCTGCAGAAGCCTAGGTGAGGCTTCTAATTGGATATCTAACGTCTCTGATGAATATGGGTCGAGGTGAATAGATCCGTTTAAAAGCTCTATTCCCAAACGTTGTGAAAACCCAAAGGAAGCTGTGACCCGGTTCTTCTCCCACTGCCCCTGTTAATCACCATCACTTCTTATCCAGGAGGGTCCTAAGTCTTTGAAAGAGCCAGTTTTCTCCCATCATAAAGTATTCCATTTGCAAAATAGTATACGGCATGAGCACTGTCTACTGATTTTATCTTAACTTATTTTAATGCCACTGGGAGGAAATACTGGTTGTTCTCCCATGCTGGCCAACTCTCTGGCAAGTTTCTTTTGGTCTCTGTGTGTCAGTCTCTCCTGTCACTCCCATTTCCCATTTGTCACCTATTGTCTCAGCCTTTGGTGAGAACTGAAGTCTGGAAACACCCCCACAATTCTGAAAATAAAAACTTATCCATTACAAATAAGACAGTCTTTTGCTGTACAATGGTTGACATATTCATTCCTGTGATTAAAATGTAAAGCATCCGGGCTCTCATTAGCAATATTTCTTTAAATTAGATGCCCAGATTAATGATTTTTTTTTTTTTTTGCGGTACGCGGGCCTCTCACTGCTGTGGCCTCTTCCGTTGCAGAGCACAGGCTCCGGACACGCAGGCTCTGTGGCCATGGCTCACGGGCCCAGCCGCTCCGCGGCATGTGGGATCTTCCCGGACCGGGGCACGAACCCTTGTCCCCTGCATCGGCAAGCGGACTCTCAACCACTGCGCCAACAGGGAAGCCCAGATTAATGATTTTTAATTCCACATTTCCTTTTGGTAATTTATTTTAAATTTTATAATAGCTCAGATTTCTTTTTAAAGCAGGTTAATTCAGAGAAATGAGAAAGATACATTTGGCAGTTTTTGAGTTAACATGATTATAATTTCCTAAAAACATCTCCAGTGTGTTATATCTCAGCTGGTAATTTAGCAAATGTAATGGGTTTTTAAAAGTTAATAACAAATGCAGCTGCTATTTTTACTTTAAAATACCCTTGCAAATAACTATCTACCTAGGATGAGTTATCTATGTCAAGGAAAATAGTAAGAGAACTCCACTATACCTTCCTTTGTGAATACCTTACCACTTGAGAGTGTCCTATGTGAGAAAAAAAAAAATAGAGTAGCTAAAAGTTTTGTGTGCTGATAAATTTAGGATACTTGTTTGTAGGTCAGCTTTGGTTGTTAATTTCATAGTGCTCTTAGAAGTATACTTTAAATTTCATAACTTTAAGAGTTTTCCTTTATTAGACAATTAACTTTATCAGTGACGTGGAAATTTCCAACTTTGAGAGCTCAGGTGTTTGTGTAATTGCTGTGCAAATTACAGACTTTAAATTGCCTTTTGCGTAGGGAGGGTGGTAGGGAGGGAGACGCAAGAGGGAAGAGATATGGGAACATATGTATATGTATAACTGATTCACTTTGTTATAAAGCAGAAACTAACACACCATTGTAAAGCAATTATACTCCAATAAAGATGTTTAAAAAAATAAAATAAATAAAATAAAAGTAAATTGCATTTTGTTACATTGCAACTTAGAATAAATTTTCATAATACATATTAATTATACCATATATG